GTAGCCTGCCTCTACACTATCCCAGCATCGCTCGAGCGCTTCTAGACGAGTGAGTTGGGCCCCCCACGCGCCCGCGCACGCGCACGCACATGCTCTTCCTTCTCCTCTCCCTCTCCCTCTCTGACTCCTCCAGCCAACATGCCCCCTTCCCCGCTCACGCACCTCGCACCTCGCACCTCGCACCTCGCAGCGCATCAGACGATATTCCAGACGCTTCTCTCGTTCGTTCCTTGCTCAAAGATCTCAGAGAGGCGAGACAAGCAAAGATCATGCAGGGTTTATCCGACGTCAATTGTTGGCACTTGGAAGTGAGTAGTGGGTGTGGGCGTGGGCGTGGGTGTGGGTGTGGGTGTGGGTGTGGGCGTGGGTGTGGGCGTGGGATCGTATGGGGCACCATTTTCATTGTTGTTTTGCGTGCGTTGCCACGTGGCCAAGGCGTCGCTTTTCATTGCATCGCATTGCAAGTGTCCACTGCACCGGCACCGGCACCGGCCATATCGCATACTTACAAATTGCCTAAACAATTCCTCCCTCGCCTTGCCTTGCCTTGCCTTTGACCGCTCGGGCCCCTCTCCACCTCGACGGACGCGCCATGCCCGCCGCGCAGATGTCCAACATTTCTCATTCGGAACTGTGCGAATTGCGTCCCTTTATCAATCGAGCATTCGACGATCTCAAGCGTCTCTTGCACAGCAGCAGTCGAGCAGGAGCCGACGAGACGTACGGACCGGATATGGGATACGCTTCTGCTTCTGCTTCTGCTTCTGCTTCTGCGACGATGCGAGGAAACTTTGCGCCGGACGACTACGAAGTGGCATACGATGCGTTGGGCCATGGTGCGGGGCGATACGCGACGTCGAGCACGAGCACGAGCAAGAGGGCACCGGCTCGTCCAGAATCGCAGGCGGAGGCGCAGCAGCTGCAGCAGCAGCAGCAGCAGCAGACATTGCAATGGGGCGCCCGTGCCCGCTCGCAGAGTCGCAGTCGCAGTCGCAGTCGCAGTCGCGAGAGTAGGAGAGGAGAAGAAGTGGCGGAAAGAGGTGGGAGTGTGGAATGGAGGGAAAGGATGGGCGCACGGGCGAATGCGGATGCGAATGCGGGTCTGGATCTGGATGCGGATGGATCAGGGCGTGCGGGGAGCGCGAGCGGGAGCGCGAGCGGGGGCGGAAGAGGGAGCGGAGGAGGTCGAGGTGGATATGGGCAGACAGAGGAGGAGGGCATGGAAGGAGCTGCAAGAGCAAGAGAGCAAGAATGGATGAGGGGAACGGATATGGATCTGTTCTGAGAGGGGAATGGGGGACGTGGGAGAAGGAAGCGCGGGGCAAGTAGAGCGGGGCGGCTACGGCGCGTGCGCGTGCGCGTGCGCGAACAGGGCAGGCAGAGGCAGGCTTGCGGATACTTTTGCATCAACTACGAACACCTCGCAGCGAAGCTTGGCCTTTTCTCTTCATCTTTCTCCCCTTCCTTTGCCTCTCTGCGCCTAACGCAGAACTCAAATGCAAAAGGTATTTATTGCAGCATTGCCCAAGGTGTACGAGTGTGGTGCGCACATTGAAGCGCTCGTGAGAGAGGCGATGGCTTCGGGCAGGCTAGGAATTCCCCCCGTCTTGCAAAAAGGTTCCGAGCGAATGCGTGATAGATCACTTGCTCCAAGCTTTGTTTCCGCCACACACCTTTTGCCTTTTTTTTTACAACTCGCGCTTCCCTCGACGAGAAAGCCAACAAGAAGGCACAAAGCATCGACTGTGCAGTTTTTCATGGATCAAACCCTTCAGCAAGGCTCTCTCACTCTCTCCGCGCATTGCCCCTCTCCTTCTCTTTTTTTTTTTTTTTTTTTTTTTTTTTTG